GGGCGGTCCCGGGCTTTCTGGCCTGACCCTGGATGGCTGGACATGCCTGAGCTGCGGGAGGTGGTGAGGGAGCAGATTCGGAGGGAAGGCTCAGAACTCTGGCTCTGGCCATGTTAGCGCGTTCGACCGCCGAGCGGTACAGGTGTTGTCAGCCCCTAGATGACACTGAAAACCGTGAGGCCAGGGGAGAGCTACCAGAAGCGCTGTTGGAGGGGAGGAGCCCGAGAGTAGAGCTGGGTGGGACACACCATGCCGGGTCGGCACCAGGAGATGACAACTGTCAGGGAGGCTGGAAAGAGGAGCCCCGCCCGTCAAGAGCAGGAGGACCCAAGAAGGCGTCGCATCCTGGCCTTGTGGTGAAGGATGCCAGGGGATCCGCTGTTTCCTGTTGCTGGTAAATCACGTGAGCTGAGGACAGAGACTTAGCCATTGTCTGTGGCGCTGTGCAGTTCCTCCTTGACCTGGGCAGCAGTGGCTTTGGAGGGAGCGGTGGTAGATCAAAAGCACGCAAGGAGTAGGTTTGACAGAAAATGGAGGAATGAATGAAAAACAGAAGGAACCTGCTCGTGTGTAGGGATAGCAGTTTATGGGGAGAAGAATGGGTTTCTGGTAAGAACTCTTGCACAGTTGTAAATGTACGGGCTCTGTGAGTCCGCTCGCTGTTTAGACTCGGCACTGCAGACCCCATCGCCCCTGTGTGAGGGGACAGTGGCTGTGCCTGGGGGCGGGGGGCCTTGGTGCAAGACAAAGAGGGTGTAGCAGGTTCTTGCCCTCTCCACGGCTGTGACTCGCAGCAGCCGGCTCCTCGGACCAGGTTAGCAGTGAGATCCCGAGTAGACACTCGGGGATTTCTTCCCTTTCGGACCTCTTTGACTCTTTTCCTTCCCTTTAACGTTGGTGACTTAGTTTGCTTTTCTCTTGCGGTGGTGGGTCTGTGTCTAACCTGTGCGAGTGTACGCTTTTGGAGACCGGACTCCACCTGCCCAGACATGCAGCATGGCACTGCCTGCCCACCCCGCCGGGGCTTCTCGGATGCCTGCTTTGGGGAGGAGGTTACAGACGGCCTCTTCTGAACTGGTATTCGGGAGAGAGGAGCCAAAGGCCTGGGTTATTTTTAATGCCTTCTGCTGGGATTTTTGGGTGTTTGTGTTCTCCGAAAACCAGAATAATAGCTGTGTAGAAGTGCTTTGTGAGCACTTTGTTAGTATGGGGCCGGGGGTGGGGGGGCGGGGTGTGTGTGTGGGGGGGCATGTAGAAGGTGGAGGAAGTGCAAAAGCACGGTCTTCCTGCTGCTTGCCTTCGTGGGCTCGTCAGAGCTTCATGAGGAGATAGCGGATTTGTCTCCCGAGCTGTGACATGTTTGCAGGGAAAAAACTTAGAGAAGATGTGGCTGTGTGACGTGAATGCTGATCATCTTGAGGTACGGAGCCCCTGGCTGCTTTCGCAGGGGAAGGCTCAGAAGTGTAAATGCCCTAATGAGCTCGCGTCCCACACGCATCACGTTCTCTATGGATGGTTTTCATTTTTGGCAGGGCTTAGCTCACTCTGGCTACAAGTGCTCCAGCAAGGGCTTTCCATCTGGAGGATGCTCTTGGCTTCCAGACGTCTGGGCTCCTGCTGGCGAAGACATGCCTGTTGGCCCAGGGGACGGGGGATGTGACCGCAGCACCGTCCTTACGAAGGTGAGCAGGTCACCGTCTTATCATTAAGTGGCGGGGTGGGGGGCTTTTGGTGCCCGTGGGCCCCGCAGGCTGCTGTGTTGGTGATGCGACTCCGGCGGTGGGGGATGGGTTTGACGGTAGGGTGGGCACGAGGCTGGTGAGGAGCCTGAGCATCCCACTGCCTCCCTGACGGGCCCTTGGCTTCCTGCACGGCCCTGGGCACTGCACAGGGCGGTGGAGAACCCAAGGACGGCCTCCAAAGCCCACATTCCCTCTCTCTCCCACCACAGAGAGTTCTGTACGAACAGGACCCAAACCTGGCATGAACTGCAGACCGGTAACTAGTTGTAACCAACGGTGTCAGACAAAGACCGACCTCTAACCTCAGACCCTTTTTTGTGGCGGGAGAATACACAGTTGAGAATGGATTATCTCTGTATACTTAACAAGCCCGTTAGAGTAAGGGAGAATTAGACTTGACCACACAAACTGAGCTCATCTGTATCTAAAAAGCCAGTAAGGAGATTAGCTTTCGATTGACTTTAAAAAAGGAGTCCAGCGAGGCTGCAGGCACCCGAATTAGAGATTTCCAGACTGTGGGTCATCTAGAAACAAAATCTCCAAGAGGCAGCTGAGATCTTTTCATTTTGAAAATGCTTTAATAAGTGTTGACAACACTGTTTTGCAAAATGTAAATGTACTATACAAATTCTTAATACAAAAAGAATAAATTAAAAGCAGATTTCTTTTTTAATTCTGCAACTTTGTCTACAACATACATCCTTTTCATTGATTACAGTTGAACAGAATCCAGTAAAATCATTTTCCATGCTCTACAGTCAGTTTCAGGAGCAACCTAACCCTTTCTCCCCGTTATTAAACTAGAGTCCATTTTACACGACGTGTAATAAACTATTGACATGAATGTGTATGTAAAACTTTACACCTAGTTAACTAAGCAGTAACTGGTCATCTGATAGCACCTGGAGGGGGTCTGCTCTATTTAGAACTAACACTGAATGAAAACAAATCGGGATTTTAACAGTTTCAACACTCACCTGCATATAATAAAATAAAGAAAATCCACCTGTCTTACAACAAAGTCTGATGTAGGTGTTCCTACCAGTCTTCAGGCTTAACAGGCAACTTCTTACACGTATCCAAAGAATCCAGTCGGGCCTTTATATCAGACCAGGGGGCTCAGATTCCATCTTACTTTGTTTTAAAGAGAGACGGATCTGTGAAGAGCTCGCAAGTGCTTGTTTGCACTGCCTCCCGTTCCCCGCCACACTGATCACTAATCCCGTGGCTCTCAAAGGACTAACATTATGTACATTTTGTAGTAACTGAACGCAGCTCAACAGTAAAACCTGTTTTACGTCATCTCTGTCTTTCCTACCAGACTCTCGTGGCGTTTGAACTATAATTTTCCTCCCTCTCCGTTCCTTTCTGCCTCCTGAATTTGAAACCCAAGCGTTGAGAAAGAATTTTCATCTCTTATCCCTGTCACCCAGCCGGGCTAAAAGCGCGATCTGAGGGACTGCAGGCCGGATTTGAAACTATGGGACATGCTATGTAACCTGCTGCCACGTGACCTCATCACCTCTGTTTCTCTGGACTTTTCCCATTGCACACAGTTCAGTCTGATTGGCCAGTATGTCTCTGGGGTGAAAGAAAAATGGCCCAGTGTATAGTGTTCTGAATGGGGAAGGAAGAAACCTGTTGGCCATAGCTCTGATCGTCAAAGTATGAGCAACAAAAATACCACCCCCTCCGTCCCCAGAATCCGTTAATAACATTAGAACCAGTTTTGTTGATCCCGCAGGGTTTACCCACGTGTTGTGTGAATATTCGTCCCTTCCCCAAGCTGTGTCACCAATCCGGTGCCCACAGGGCTGGGGAAGCAGGCCCTGAATTGTCCGGAGTGGTCCCAGTGTGCTGTGAGCCCACAGCGCTTTCCAAGCTGCAGCGGAGGGAGCACTGTTAAACTGACTTTTTAGGGTCCATCTTCCCTCCTGGTCTGGTAGTCTCGTGCTTCTCGGATTACACATACATAAAAAAAATGATTTTTCTTTTTATTCTAAAGCTAACTGTGGTTTTGCTTTCCCACAAAACTACCCCACCCCAGCTCCTGTCCCTGGCTGTCAAATGCCTTTCCAATAGGAAGTCGTTAAGTGAGAAAAACGGTCCGTCCCCCCGCCCCCCCCCCCTTGCGCCCATAAGCACAGCGTACCACCTCCGTGGAGACCGTGTTTGTGCCATTTTGAACAACCCAACTAAGAGTGTGCGCTTGTTATGATTAGAAAAGTATTTTTGAGGCCTTTGAAGATAGATGGCTTTCCAGTTGTGTCTTAAGCATAGCTCAAAACACATGTAAACATGCAGCTCTTTCTTCCCCTCTGGGTTTCTGCAGACCACTGTGGTCGCTCAGGGTCGCTGCCAAGGCCGGAGGCCCCCGGGCCCCCGGGGAGCTGGCGTGCTCTTCAGCCCCGCTCCGCCTGCTAGTAGACACGGGAGTAAACTCTTCCTACCTAAGGGCAGAGTTGGGTTCTCGGAGTAAGTGACACATGGTAACCGGGTGCCCAGAGAAGTCGGGTCTGAGCTCATTGTCACACAAGTGCTAACAAGTAGAAAATGAGCCACAACAGTTAAACACTCGAATGGATCGTGATGTGCTTTTTCCCTTGGTTTCCCATAAAAAGTAAAATCAAACACCTTGTGCAAAACAACAGGACACGCTTTTACTGCTTGTTTTAATAGAGAGAAGCGCTCTTGGCCATCCCCACCTTCCGCTTCCTACAGATCCCACCAGGAACGCAGCTCGGTGCAGCGGGCTGGGCCCGGACCCCCACGCAGCCCGGGCTGGCGGCGCACCCTGCTCCCCGCCTGCGGGCCTGGCCTCCGTGGGCACACCCCTGGGGACCCAAGGCCGCAGCACCGCTCCGGCTCCCTTGACTTGATCATCATACCGGCTGAGTTCTCCAGGCTCTGGCCTGAGAGAGAAGGTGGGACATTAAGGGCAAGGGATAAAGAGAGGGAAACAATTTACAAATGGTTGACTTTTCACTTGTGATGAGTAGTAGCAGTTGAGAATTTAAAAGATTTCACTGCAGAAAGAATGTCTTCCTCTTGGCCCCTCATATTTTTTTATTTTTAATTTTTTTTTTTTTAATCTTTGGCAGCATAGAACTGATTGTGATCCTTGGGTGCATCTCTGACACATGAAGCTTCCTGTTCATTCTCCTTCCCCTCCCCCAACAGCGACTCCCCCAGGGAACATTTCAAGTGTCAACTGAGCAGTCCCCGCGCATTCGAGGTGTCCTCCTCACCGAGCACCTGGTGGGCCTGCGGGTGGCAGGCTGACCACAGCGGAACAGTCCTTCAGGATCACCCTGTACGTAAGTCCCCTTTCCTGTTCTCCTGCCACTTGTCCACAGGAATTGGATGTCTGCTACCTTCCCTGATGGTTTCTGGCCTGGGGGCTGTCATGGCCCCGGGGTGGGGGGAAGCCACCAAGGTGCCATTGAGGATTGGTGCCTGGCTCTCTGTGGGTGAGAGCGCCAGGTGACACACAGTGGGACCGGAACCTTCCAGAATGTCTCCTCAGTCAGGGTTTTAAGGGTGAAGGGGATGCGGAGACGGGAGGAAAAAAAAGTGCTGAGGGCCGAAGCTGGTGCAGGGTGACAGTGCGTCTGGGTAAGGCAAATGAGAGGCAGTGAGGTGATCTCTGAATGGCGTTGAGGCGGTCAGATTGCGGCCGGCTGGCTCACACGAGGGTCCCGGGCTTGGCTTTCTCCTGCCCGTACCACTGGACATCGGCTAGTTCTGGATAGAGGGAGGAATCCAGGAAACAGCGGTCGGTGCAGCTCCTGCAGGGAAGGCGAGGAGGAGAGGAGCAGGTTAGTGGACGAGAGCGGCCTTCCTCGGCCCTCGAGCACAAGTCCGTGCGCCTTCACGGGGGAGGGGGGGTCTGCTACTGCCGGGGGTTTCCCTGGGTCGTGGGGAGGTCGGCCTGAGTCGGCCCAGCAGGGGGAAGCTGCTCACAGGCAAGAAAAAAGAAATCCACGTTCAGGAGCCCTGCACCAGGGACACCCGTGGAGGGGGAGAGGGAGACAGGGGCTTGAGAACTCTAGGAAACCCTCTGGTCCGGGCCCTGCCCTCTGCGCCTGCACCTCAGGAGCGTGCAGACCTCCGGGATGCCTAGAGTCCTCTTTCAGAGAGCAGCTGCTTGGGTCGCCCTCCAGGGGACCTCAGGCACCACCAGCTTTCCCTGCATTTGTATGTGGTCCTAGAAGCACGTTCAGAGTGTCAAGTGAAACGGAGATGATATTTTGAAAGGAGTTTAAAAAATTTCTGAATCCGCACTATTTATTTTAAATTACATCCACTGTTTTCTGATTACAGAAACTGTATGGAAAATGTATTGGACACTAGAATGAAAAAAGAGACTTTTTCAAGTCCTCGAGGTACGCATCACCGTGGAGGCTGGGAGAGGTGAGGAGGTAACTACAGACACGCCGAGGCCAGTATTCAGGACTAGGAAACCGCCCCTTTCTGATCCCAAGCTGGCTCTTTCGGGTCAAGAGTAGAGGTCAGACTTCACCTCCACGGACCCAGGAGAGGGGGTGGCATTCCCCCGATTGGTGTCTGGAGGCAGGCTAAGGGCTTGGGGCAGCCTCTGCGGCCTGGGTAGATGAAGGCCTGCCCTCCTCTCCCCTGCCCAGCTGGCCACAGCCCTACTGCTGGCCAGCTCAACTCTGGGCTCTGTTCACGCACTGCATGTCGGGCCTGGCGCCCCTCAGGTGCTGTTGCCTTTGTTCCTAGCATGGCTCCTACTATCCTCTGAGTGTCGATTTGTAGCGAGTCCCACAGCGATGAAACTAGAGGCCTAGAGCCTCCAGGTAATGAAGCAACATGTCCTGTGAGTGACATTGGTCTGTGATTCTGGGGCAGTAGGAGTGTCTAGGCCCCAGAGCATATGCTGTTTCGGGGTAGAGCTGCTGCTTTGGGAACACCACAGGGCTTCTGCGTATGTGTCAGAGGAGACCTGGTTCTCCTCGCCCTTGGCGCTAGGGCTTGGGGTGGCAGGAAAGCAACCCCGAACCCCACGCCCTGCAGCGAGGTGAGCGAGCACCTTCCCCCCAGCCCCACGAGCCAGTCGGTGAGCGAGAGCAGCTGTTGGGACCATCTCTCTCTCTCTGACTGGCCGACCTTGCTAGGAACGAAGGGATGAAGGCATTGTGGTTTTGTAGATGTTTCTCATCTGGCTTTTTAAAAAAACCCATAAAAGTTGGAAAACCCAAGGCATCGGTGGCATCCAGGGGCCTTTACTGAGAGCCCTGGGTTAGGACTCCTGACCCAGTGGGATGAAGGCCACTTTCAGAAGCAAAGTGACATACGGGCCCTTCCTCCTGGTGCTGGCCACAGGCACCTGTGAGCGGTGCAGGGCCCTGGAAGCTCCCTCTCCACCCTGGCAGAAGTGCCATTTGCCATATGCCTGAGGACTGAGAAAGTTTTTCTGGCAGGAAGCGGTTGGATCCACTGGGGGGACCTATGCTGTACTTTGGGGGCTGGTCCCTCCCTAACTCCTTATGGTCCTGATGCTGCCCTTCCCCTTCCCCCAGGTGAACCAGTGACCCAGGTGGGCCAGTTAGAATCCTCTACCCGCGGTCTCGGACTGCTTCAGAGAGGCCCAGCAAGGCCAAGCAGCCTTCAGCCCAGGGGGACGTGTTTCCTCCTCACACTGTAGTTAGCAGGGGCAGGAAGTGGAGGCAGAGATGAATGAGAACTAGCCGGTTCTGGCTCCTCTTGTGCTCTAAACCACGAGACAGCCACGATACTGGAAAACCCATCCATTTCTAAAACAACAGTTGGATCCAAATTGTTTCTGGGAGTTGGAATAAATGAAGGCTACCTGCTCAGACGGCTGAAGCACCTGTGGAGAAGACACTTAGGATTTTCACTCACCTAAGTTCCAAATAGACTTGCCCCTCTTTTTTCATTCTGGTAAGAATGACCGCCCTGAAGTTCGCACTTCAAAGAAACGGCCTATATGACAGGTCCTGGAGGAGACCAGCTGGAGCATTTATGTCTCAGAGAGAAGGCAAGCTCCTCCAAGAAGGATTTTTGGAATTTGTAACAACAACAAGAACAACAAAAACCCTTAGTGGAAGGGCTTTGAATTGCTTCCAGAGCACGGGACTATTCCTGTAAACACTGAATTTGTAAGATGGGGACACCTGTCCTTAGTTCCTCAACAACGGGGATTGCAACTTGTTTAAAAGCCAGTAAGATCCTGAAACTTTACTTAGTTGAATTTTGTTTTCTAACAGTTTGGTGACAGTGCTGGGATCCTAAGGAGACCTCACACGGCTTCGGGGACAGCAAGAAACACAGGCAGTGGAGACTGTGAGCCCCGAGGTGTCTCTGTCACCGTTTGTGAGGCCGTGGGTAAGTTCCTCTCAGTTCCGAGCTCTGCTTTCTTGTGTTAAGCTCCCCATGGAAGTGGCTTCTGGGTCTAAGTGACCATTGTCTGGCCTGACAGGTGGCTCTGAGTCCTCGGCCCTCACTTCACCTGCAGTCCCAGGCCAGGGCGTGGTGGCTTGGCTTGAGCTGGCTGATGGTTGCACCTGGAACCTCAGTCCCTAGTACTCGGTTAGTCTCCAGGGCCCACATGTTGTGGGCTGCTGGCTGTGCGCACCTGATGCCTCCTTTTGGCCAGTCCTCGGCATCATCTCTGTGGTTACTGCGGGTCTGTTAACGTGCCCGTGAGGTGAAGGAATAACATGTTCATGAGAACCTCAGAAGCCAAAGCTGCAAAATGGGTGGGCGCAGGCCAAGCACTAAGAAGCCATTAGGGCGCTTGCCCCCCCAGTGCTGGGGCAAGTGGGTTACGGAATGGGTTAGACGGCCACCAGGTCGACCTCAAGAAAACTTCCATGACAAGGTACACTGTGAAAGGCCCCAAGAACCCCAACCAGCGGCATGTCCCTCTTGGGTGTTCACTGGTCTCTGAGAGACCAAAGGCTCAGCTGAGAGCTCTTGTCCTCCAGAGAATGGTTCCAGAGAATGGCATGTGCCACCTGCTGGCGCAGCTGCTTGGGTGCCGTCTGGTAAAACATGCTAGCATCATCGTGGCCGTCGGGAAGCAATTTCAGTCCAGAGCAAGACCACAGAATGTGAAATGGAGCTGCTCAGGCACATGCCCTCAAAAGGACAGATCGTAAATGCCGAGAGACTGATGTCCTGTAACTGCCTGATCAATAGAAGACAGACACTTCTCTCCTGAGCAGCCAACACCTGCCCAGGATCTCTCCCTGTTCTCAAGCCAGTGAATTGGGACTGTGGACATTGCTAGAACACTTGCCACTTTTCTGTGAGACCACCTTCTGCAAAGTGTAAGACTCCTGTGTAAGGATAAGGTGCTTACGGACACGTAGGCTTCACACCGGGTCACCTGTCACCCACCAGACAATCCCGTGCGATCAGGGACACCTGGTCTTAGGTCAGACCTCTTGGAAAAACTCCCCAAAATGGGATCCCAGTCATCTCAAGGCTCTATGGGTGCCCCCACCAAACCCCAGGGTTTTCATGCTAAAAATAGTTATGGTATCTCATGCACACAGACCAGCAGTACTGAAGACAACCTAGAATCCCAGAGATCCCTATGAAGATTGTTCCAGTGAGGTAAGTTCGTTCATTTAAGACGTGCACGTGAATGTAAGGGTTCCCAAACAGAATGGGATCCATGTTTTAGTTGGTACGCAGAAGCCTCCGGAAGGCTTCAAAATTTGGCACTGCTTCACTAATTCTGATTCATTGCAAAAGGGTAATGAAAAGTTCAAGACAGAGGTGGTACCTAAAACAAAAGACTGTCCGCCTGCTGGGACTCCTGCTACTCCCCGTTACCCTCCTCTACACCGAAGCGCTCGTGGTATTACTCCTTTATCCAAATGGTCTTCCAGCCCGCAAGAGACTACGTGAGCCTGTAACACGGCTGTCAAAGGAGGGTCCCCACACGGGGCCCTCGAGGGATTCTCTTGTAACTGCTACCAGTGACTCCTGAAAGAGCCCAGCAGAAACTAAACCTGGGGCACCCCTGTCAGGTTCCAGTAGTGCATGAGATATACACTCTGTACTTCAAACCCCACTTGCTCTGGAGCCCACAGATGGGAATCCTGGAAAAACTAGCAGAAGCCTGCGGCAGGCAAGAATCCTTACCAGAGTCCTCTCTCCCAAATCTCTGTAGCCCACTCGGGAGAGGAAGGTAAAATTTTGAGTTCCTTCCTTTCCAACTCCAAACTGACGGGTTACTGAACCTCTCTTTCCCGGGGACAGCTGTTGCCCTCCTGTCTCCTGGGTCCTGAGAGCTGGGCTTGGCAGCCATCACATTGCCCCCCCACCCCCCAATATATGGCCAGGCAGAAATGTGGGTTGAACTCCATATGCTTATCGCCAGTCCTCAGGAAGTCTCTCGGCCTGTTTTGGTCATCTCTGGGAGTGGCTCTGGCTCCTGGGCGAGTGGTATTCTCTGTACCCTCTCTGAGGATGCCTTCTGTGTCCATGGTGGTGTTCAGTCCTAGCCAGGAATAGTTACTGTTTGGGCTCAAACCTGACAGAGTTGAAAGGATTTTTAGGAAGCTCTCTGGTCAGAAGTTGGCCAGATTGGAAGCAGCCTGTCCTCATCAGAGCCTGACAGCAACCTCATGGGCGGCTTTCTCCCCATGTCCTCAGAGGGAAAGAAAAACATTTTTGCCGCCATCTATGGAAGGATTTACTAGAACAAGCCAGAGACTAAGCTCTAAATCTGGAACACAGGAATCTTGTGATTTCCATTCTAACTGAAGGTGGAGTGGGATGGGTGGGTCTGCCTGTGATGTCTCTCAGGTCGCAACCCAATTTCTTGAGGAATTAAAAACAAGGGTTCCTGTCTGAGGACAAATCACATCTTCACCAGAACAAGTATAACTCTCGGAGCAAGTCAGATCCCACCTGTCGTTTTGACCCATCCCCAACCCTTCCCAGTTCGTCTCAAGAGGCTTGATGTGAAGGCCTTCTCCCAGGAATGGTGGGAATGTTCTACTTGCAGAACTTGTCTCATAGGCCATCTCTTTCCCGTGCAAACTTCAGGGAGGTCATTCTTACCAGAAGGAGAAAAACGGGGAGGCTATTTGGAATTAGGCGACTGGCAGTCTTAAATGTCTTCTCCCCAGATGCTTTAGCCGTCTGAGCAGGTGACCTGAATTCATCCCAACTTTCAAAAACATGATTTAGTTCCAGCTGTTCTTCTGTAAACTAGTCAGTTTTGTGTTCTCATACTGGTCTCCTGGCTACGCTTTAAAACGAAAGCTGTAAGATCTCTATGTCTGTGGATCTATGTTGTAGTTGGGTGACGTTTTTTCTACCTCTGGGTGATAATGCCAAAATTAATTTGTAAAAGCTTTTTAATTAATTGGCTTAAAAAGAAGCTTTCCTTGTCAACAAACCACTGCCAGTTTTGTAGCAACAAGATTACTTGAGAACACCATCTGGACCTGGGCCGCTGCCACAGGTTTGCACACTGACCTCAGAGGCCACATCCCTGGCCTGCCGATCCCAGAGCACGCACAGCCCTTCCTGTGCCTCAGAGGCTGCCCTGCCCTGCCCTCCTTAATCTCCGGGACTAGTAGAAAGGACTAAAGGCATCCTTGAAACCCCATTAGGAAACTTCTGTGCAACTCTGGAATTTCTCTGGACCAAGATGCGGTCATTGGACTTTCTGAAGCTCCAGTCCTTACGTTTAGAAAAGCTTGTTCCTTACAGAGCAGTAACTGGCGGGTGTACACATTTGCCTTCTTCCTGGTACTCTGACCCTCAGATTGCCCAACCAGACCTGTTAGGATATTGCCACTTCCTCTCTCTTTCCAGAACAAGAATACCACCCGACCCTCATGAGCCACATGCCGGAGAGTACTCGTACTGGAAGAGACGAGTCAAGTCAAGTCAAGGACTCCCTCTGTCCTATTGTGAAAGGACCTTTCTGGTACTGCTGACCAGTTCCTGCCCAGCTAACCCTGGAGGCATCTGCCCCAACGTCCAGGAGTCAGGGGACCTGAAAGGAACAGCCGCAAGCTCTCCAGCCACCAGCAGCAGAGGGCTAGCCCAGATGTCGGACCAGGCCTCGAACTCTCCTCCTTCCCTCTGAAAATCGTGACAGGCAAAAATGAAGCAGACTCCTCCACGTAAGTGTTGTTTTTCTATCTGCTCTCTTCTGTTACTCCTTGGAAAGACTTGGAAAGACTGTACGTTCCCCCTTACGGGCAACTGCCCAGGGAGACAACCTCTCAGACTGCTGAATCTGCCTTCGCAAACTCTGATCTGTCCATGGTTTTGGGCACCCCTGGGCTTTCCCGCATCCAGTTCTCCTTCATAAACCACATCCGAATTCCCTTCAATGTCAGCTTCTACAGTTAGACTTCGCAGCCAGGCTTTCCCAGTGTCGTCTTGTTACCGTTCTCCAGTGATACCCGTCCTTGACCAACGAGGTACAGATACCCGTGTGCCCTAGATAAGTCCACTGGCATCACCAGGCTCTTATGATTTTCCAAATCAGATTTGCCCCTGATCACAAAGAATTTTCACCAGAAGCATCTGCTTTGGCAAGGAATTTAGAACAACTCTTTACTTCAGACTAGGAGACTGACTTCCTGAATGTGCCAGAAACCTAACCAACCCCTGGCTGGACCGAGCAGACGTGGCGCTGACCACCTGAGCAGGGCCGCTTCAGCCCGACAGCACTGGTCTTTGTCCGGGGCGGGGCGCTGATCCTTCTCCCGGGGCCTCTGGGCACCCAGACTGGCATATAAGCAGTTCTCTCTCACTGTACCCCAACGGTCCGCAGCCAAACTGGGACATCTTATTGGTCAGCTCCCCTGGATTTACATTATCAGGTTAGAGGAGACCAGGAAGCATTCATAATTCAGGAGTCGCTTCCTTTGGCTGATCTCTACCTCGATGATTAGGGGCGCGCAAATAGGCTAGGGCCCCAGACTTTGCTTTAACCCATCGAACCACTGACAGCTCAGGTGCTAAGGCTATCACTGCCCAGCAAGACTCCCTAGATTCTCTGCCTAAAATGGTCTTTGACGGCGGGCTAGCTCTCGATTACCTCCTGGCAGTACAGGCTGGCTGTGCCACAGTTAGTCAGGATGCAGACTTGGCTTAACACTTCCAGGGAAGTCAAGGTTCAGTTACATCGTCTGAGAACAAGCCACTGGTTACAAGTCCAGTTTGACTCATCTTGGAATTTTTATTCAGCTGGTTCCCAAAAAGACCAGGCTTCTGGTTTAAATCTATACTACAACTGGGTCTTTCTATCCTACTTGTCATTTTGTTTTATGATTCTTTAAAGTACTGAGTTACCCAGTCTGGCCTTTGTGAAAATAACGAGCCTGACGCATTTCAAAGCCTTGGGCAAGCAGTGTCTGACATCTACACCCTTGACAAAGTCTCCTTGCCTTGACCGTCCACTTTGACCCAATATAAGTTGCTCAGGTGTGGCCTTTTGCTTGCTACTATTCCCGAAGCTGTTCTCACCCTGAAGGAAGGCATGGTAAAGAATAAAGATACGAGCATGAGCGAAGAAACAACACGGATCATCAAAAGGTGAAGTCCCTGCAAAAGACACTCAGCGGTGTATTGCGTGATTGCTGCCCCTCACTCGATACTGAAGGGGAAATGTAGAACCAAACTAAAATGGAGTCACTTATGTCAAGGACAAAATGGAGACAATCAGTGCAGGCTCATAAAGGAAGATTAACCTATCCTTACACAAATTCTCGCTCTTCCCAGAAATCAGAGGACACCAACCAGTCTCCCAAAGCCAATTCGGTTTAGTCTCTTTCTGAACTTCCCTGTCCCCTGCAAATACGCATGGTTTGGTTTTTGGCCTTGCTACTTGTTCAGATGGGGCCACTGAGATCCCCTTTCCAGTTCCCTCCTCTGTAGCACATGACATGTGAAGATGGTCTTCCCTCCAAGGGGCTTGTGCTCCATCTAACATCTTTGATTATGGAAGGAATAAAAGGGCAAACAATGCCTAAACAACATGGTTATCAGTGATGGTTTCTGCAAAAGATCTTGAGCAACAGTGGGGAATGTGAAAGGATTTCAATCTAAAATGAAACCAGAGGCTATGAAATGAACAATCTCACGCATGTCCCCTCAGAAGAATGGAACTTAAGAACTCAGAAATTGATTTTCCGTAAATACTTAACTTACTTACAGAAGACTGAGACTGCTTAACCAGAGAACTATGCCAAGGATCTCTTCCTGTCCTGCAGCTGATGAATTTGTTTAGACTCTGGCTAGACTTTTCCCTCTTTGCACACTTTGCAAATCCAGCCTGCCCCAAGCCCTCAATGCTCACCTGTAGCTTGCTACAGCCTGCATTTCTCAAAGTGCACTTCTTCTGCCACTCCCACAGGAACCCCATTTCTGGCCGCTGGAGCCTGCCTCAGTTGACCTCCTTATTGAGGTAGTTCGCCATCACTGGGAACATTCCAGTTAGATAATCCACGTAAGTCAACCTGAGAGCAAGGTTTGCCAAACTCATCAGAATGGGTTACCCATCTTCATGGGCATGCGGAAGCCTCCAAAAGGTTTCACAGTACCAGAATAGCTTCATTAAGAAAGTCATTGCAGGGGCGCCTGGGTGGCTCAGAGGGTTAAGGCCTCTGCCTTTGGCTCGGGTCATGATCCAGGGTCCTGGGATCGAGCCCCACGTCGGGCTCTCTGCTCAGCAAGAAGCCTGCTTCCCCCCTCTCTCTGCCTACTTGTGATCTCTGTCAAATAAATAAATAAAATTAAAAAAAAAAAAAAGTCATTGCAAAAGGATAATGAAATGTGAAAGACACAAGAGGTACCCAAAACCAAGACCGTAACATTGACGTGACTTTTCCTTTATCCTCTCTCCCCTCCGAGCACTCATGATCCGCTCATCCTCTGAAGTGTGTTTCCCCTCTGAAGAGACCACATGACTGTCAACAAAAGTCTGCCCTGTTACTGGCCCCAAAGGTGGGCCTCCGTATGAGCCCTCCTCATAGTTGACGGGACTCTGAGGGGTTTTCTGATAACCTGTGACCAGTTAGTCCATTAAACAGCCAACGGGAAACTAAAATGGAAATGAATGGAGAGCCTTGCTCAATTCTGATAGATCCTAGGGCTATATGCTCCACTTTATGCCTCACTTGCTTGAGACCCTGCAGGTGAGGGCCTGGGAAAAGTGGCAGAAGCTGGCAAAGGGTGGGAATCCTGATCAGAGTCCGCTTCCCTGACTTCTTACGACTCAAGTCTTTACAAGAACAGAAGTACGGCCATTTAAATGGAAGCAATTCAGAGCCCACTTAGCATTTTTAGCAATCCCCAAATCTCCACACCCACCCCCCTCCTCCCGCCATCATCTCAAAAACTTTATAATTACTGTAAAATTCTGGCCTCAGGATACCAAAATTCCGTCTTGAAGGAACTAGAGATGTGAATGTTCTATCTGGTTTTCTCTAGAGTGTCCCTGGAAAATCTCAAAGGATTTGTTTCTCCCCTTATAAAAGATGCTTCACTAATTAGGTTTATTTGCTACGTTAAATTACATGGGAAGCTTTGTCATGTAAGTAATGAAAACCTTCTTAGGTTATTTTTATAGACCATGTTATTCTTGAAAATGTATGAAGTTTCTAGAAATCTGATATGTCCTGGGTATAATGTTATTCACAATTTCAGTTATTATCTTTAAATGTTGTACATCACAGAAATAATCAAATTTCCTTATCAATTTCATTATAATGAACTCCAATTAGATCTGAGCATTTTAAAGTGTTTTGTCATTTACAGCCATTTGATTTTGCAGAACTGAGAATCAGGAAGGAATCCTACCAAGAACTCCTGACACCGCTGCTCGATTACAGGGTGCTGAACCCTAGTGCGTATTTTGTGACCGAAGAAGGCTCCATCTCCCGTCTGGTCCACTGCAGAAGCTGGAGACGCCAGACTCAAACTGACAAGTTAGAGGGGTACCAAGTCGAGGTTGAGGGCTTCCTCCCAAGGTGTGGCAAATTTCTCCTTCCCTCTCTGACCATTCTTCCCCTAATTCTTACTCCATGAAGGTCTGCGTGATCCTTTTGTCCACCTTTCTCCTGGCCCTGGCCTGCAGAGATAATGCCATTGTGCACCCGTCTCAGGCCACTGCCACGGGAGAGGTAATCTGCCCGTCACAGACTTCTGCCTGACTGCCCGCGCCTCAGTTACCCTGGGCCCAACGCAGCCCCTCTCTCCACCAGGTCACAGGCCCTGGTTACGAACCCCAGGCCCAGAGAACTTGGCGTCCAGGCTCTGTCCAAAGAAAGGGACACCAGGCAAGGGTAATAACCAAATAAAACCACAGACCTCGAGTTGTACTGGCCTCCGTGGCTGTCCTCCTCTGAGTCCCAAGCCACAGACTCAAATAGAAATGACCAAGAACCATTCACGAATCCAAGTTTGCTTCCCTTGGCAGATCGTCCGCCTCCTGGACAGGAGTAAGCACGAGCAAGCCTGCACTTTGGGACTTCTCCCTCACTCTCGCAGATGTCGCAGAATTGGCTTCTAGAACAAGACCTGCCTCACGAATTCCTAGGCTCTCTGCCCGAGCTGTTCCTACGCATAGCCCTGGAGTGTCTCTCAGCTGAGGTGCTGCTGTGGCCAAACAGTGCCACTTGCTGAACTCGGATCGATGCTTCCCGGGAAGTGAAGACTCAGTTACCCAACACCCCCGCACACGGCAGTGGCTTACAAAAGGGACTCCGTCGGTGGGGTCTTCCTGATCAGTTGTTCCTCTGCTCTGATAACCACAGTCGTCCCACTCACGCACGCTTTGCTCTCAAAAGCTTTAACTACATGGTTGCAGCCATTCACCACCCAGCAAAGGATCTCTCTACGGACAGAACTTCAGAAAAGGAACGAAGAGAATGACCAGTGTAAATAATGAACCTGATCTACTGACCTGTGAGTACCGCACAGATTCAGCAAAACCTGTGAGAACTGAGCGTTAGCTACAAGTAACCCTAATGCCTTAAGTTTTGATCACATCTCTTGGTGAGGCTAGGAGTCTGATTAAAAGGAAGGAATTGTTAAAAATAAGAAAACGAGCCCCAAATGGAGTCACCGATGCTAAGACCCACATCACCAAACTGAGACCTCAACTTTAGTATCAGTTCTCCCAGAGTCATAACCCAATCAAAAATGACCTTGCAAGAACCAGTCGATTTTTTGCCTCGTATAAATCCGTGTTCCTGCTCCCTTCTGCCTAGAGAAGTCTCATCTGGAACAGCTCCTTTCTGTCTGCTAGAGATGCTGCCCGAGTCATGAATTACTGAATAAAGCCTATACTGTCTCTCCGATTTCCTCGGTTTGTTTTTTTGAGCACCATCTTCCTCTCAAAGGCTAAGCCCCTGTTTTCCTAATCTCCCATCTGCCAACTCAGGAGCCTTTCAATAAAAACTGTTCCACGTGTCTCTCCTAATTTGTTCAGGATCTCATCCTGCCCTACTTTTTAGGGAGAAGTCTCTACAACACTCACTCTCTACAAGAAGATGAGGCTCTTTGCTGGTCATCAGACACCCCTGCCTCTTGCTGCATCTGTGTTTTTGCCTGTGGAATGCCGCCGCCCCCCCCCCCAAACCCACCCCACGTCGTGGAAGCCAGATTCAAGAGCTATCGCCGTAAGCCCGAGTCCTCCTGCTCCCCCTGGAATGCTCTGAAGTCTCGGAGTAGTTAATACCTACGTCCTGCTCTTCCTCCCTCTCCTCGCATGGCTCCTGTTAGAACTCCTGGTCTCAAGCATGGTTCCTGGGACACAGGGTTCTATTTTTGGCTGAAAAAAAAGCTTATAACTTTTTATCCACTATCCTTATCTTTTTTAGTCAACCCTTGAAATGCTAGTTAAATCTCAGTGTCTTATCTACCAGTTGGAATCTGGGCCCTGGGAAGCAGAACCTGACCAGGAGGTACTGGTTTTCTGCCCACTACAGCAGGGCTTCGCGAATTTCAATGTGCATTTGGTTCACCCAGGGAGCTCATTAAAATGCAGATTCAGGGCGCAGGGGTGGCTCAGTGGGTGAAAGCCTCTGCCTTCGGCTAAGGTCATGATCCTAGGGTCCTAGGATCGAGCCCCCCATTGGGCTCTCTGCTCAGCAGGGAGCCTGCCTCCTCCTCTCTCTCTCTGCCTGCCTTTCTGCCTACTTGTGATCTCGGTCTGTCAAATAAATGGGTAAAATCTTAAAAAATAATAATAAAATGCAGATTCAATTTCAGTATGCCCAGGAGTCCAGCTGTCCACCAAGCCCCCGCGTAATGATGGCGGACCACATTCTGGAAAGCAGGGCATTTGGCAGAGTCTGCATCTGTCCCTCAGGAATGCTGGACGAAATCAGGGGTGGTCTTCAGGTGCCTCGGTCAACTCGGGTCTGCTTTAAGTGCTTTGAAATGTCAACTGCAAGAAGCTCTTCTCTCCATGGACTAAACCATAGTCACTAAACCAATACGTACACAGAGTCTGGAAAGGGCCAGAACATACTCCGAGGTCTTTTCTGGGAAGTAGCATGGGGACTATCTAACATCTGCTATAAAAACAGACATATACACAGAGCTCCACGGGTTTCCAGAAATAAGACATAACAATAACAGCTTCCATACCATTCACAAGTTTCCTTCTGGAAATTACGATATGGGCAGGGGGGACACATGCAGCACATCTGAGACCACAAACTCATGAGCAGCAAAGGGGGGAGGGCTAGGAGAACCAAACATTCCCTTACGGTACCTCTATTCATCAGTGCTTTGGTGAGTTGGAGACTCAGACCCATCCATAATGGGTGAGTTTTCTGTTGCTTCTCTGAACAAAGGAAAGCAGAAGAAGGAAGAGAAGAGAGGTCATGTTAAAGAGAGGAACCGACACAGACATGATTAGTAGCTTATTAATACATTGGAGAGATCAGCTGACTCCATACCCCAGTGTTGGTGACAGACAATCCCAGCATGCAGAGCTTTCAGGCCCCCGGAGTGAGTCAGAGACCTCAGTTCTGTGAGGAAGGCAGGCTTTGGCACTTTTTACCCATTTCCCATTTTCTGATCACAGCACGGGGAGTAGTTACTGGTTGTTAATGATCATTCACCTCCACCCGATAAAGGTTCACTTCAAGGACCCAGACTGTTTCCAGTGGGTTTCTGGTTGGTTCTGAGGCCTCAACCAGCTCTCTGCAGTGACACCCAGGTTTCAAGACCAGCACAAGCCACGTAGGCCTTTGAGGTTGTGTTCACCCACTTCCCGCGGGCTGTCAGTCAGTCACATTCAGATCAGGGGAGACCGGGCACGATCCAGAAAACGTGGAGGAGCCAAACAGGCTAAAACCTGAAGCTCTTACTTGGGTGGAAGGGTTTGGCCCCAGGAGGTGCCATCCTGAGAGCAGACCTAACATTCTTGGAGTTCCTCTGGGTGCAACTCTGGGGCCCGAGGCCTTGCAGCAGCTGCCCGACCCCACCAGACGGAGCTGGCGTGAGGCTGGGATGCAAGGGAGGGTCATAATGATCTGGGACAAGGACAGAGCTGTGGCCCCAAAGGTACACCGAGACATGGGAGCGGTTGCAAGTTCCCTGCAGTTGGGACTGCGGGTTCTCCCACGGCAGATGGAGGGGGAGGCAGCAGGGGGCACAGCTCAGGGCCGGGCAATCTCAAGCAGGCCTCAGAACCTCGTTCAAACACAACTGCCCGGTCCCACGCCAGAGTTTCTAATTTCGTAGTCATGGGTGGGCCCCAGAATCTGCCTTTCTCACAAGATCCCAGGCCACAGATGCTCAGGCTACTGGTCTGGGGACAACACTGTAAGAACCACCGGCCTGGCAGAAAAACACAAGACCCCGGAGGTCCGGGAACGCACACAGCTTCATTCGGCCGTGTGACTCCGGGCAGGGCATGGCTTTTCCCTGAGCCTCCTCTGTCAAACCCAGAGATCTGCGTGTCGCCCCCTCGAGGCCGCAGTGAGGGACATACGAACGCCTCCGCCTTAGAAAAAGCTCCTGGCCTTTGAGTACGCAGCAAGCACTCAATAAGCATTAGCTCGCCTTCCCTTGTGTCAAACACTGGGGCCCCAGAGAGCCGGGCCTTAAAACCACCACAGGTACGTGAACAGGAACGGAAACACCACCTGCCCAGCGCAGGAGCCGGAAATGCCTGCCGGGAAGCGGATCGCGGTCCCGCTGACCCCGCCCCCGCACAGCTGCCCACCCTTCCCGACCTCCCCGCGGACGCTCCAGCAAACGGGGACCTGACTAAAGCCGGACAAGGGATCCCTCACTTCTTCACCCCACGGTCACCGACAGGACGTGACAGCCAGGTCGAGGCGACATCTGAGGAGCAACAGAGGCGGCAGGACCGCAAGGACAGCAGCTTCCGTGCGTCCTCGGGGCTTCGGGAGTCTCGAGCTCTAACTGTCCTCGAGGTCAGAAGCGCTCTGCCCACGCTGGAGCCCGAGAAGGAACGGAATGCTGCTTCATCTGGGTGGATCATGTCTTACGGTTCTCAGGGTGCCTGTCCCCGGTGCCCTGTGTTTGTTACAAACAAGCAGCCGGCCAGGATGGAGACGGGCTCTGAGCCTCCTGCCCGTTTCCCTCAGAAGCATCTTGGTTCCCGGACAGGACACCCTGGGGAGCGAGTGAAGCCCGCGCGGGGCCCAGCGCCTGGTGCTCAGATCCTCTGCCTCTCACCAGGCCCTGCAAGTCCACCTGAGACCATCTGAACACAAATACACAGGCTGTGACCAAGAAGCGCAGTCTACCTTCGGGCACCGACCTTCCCCATGTTCCTGGGACCAGTGTCGAGAGAGAGCCGAGACCCCTAGCCTGTCTAAAGGGACAGCTATGGAAAGGAGCCAGGTCAGAGGGAACAGCGTTCTCGCAGCTTCTTCGGGAAGGAAGAGGTTTCCCAGGAACACACCCTTACCATGTGTTTGCTGACAAACCCTTCTGTCACTAGGATCCTGTACTTGTTACTACAGCCTTCCTCACTAACAAGGAAAGCTGAGGATCATTCTAGGGCCTGGAAGAGGAGCCTGGAAAGTCTGAAAGGGGGACTCACCCAGTCTGCCAGGTTAGGATGTGGTGGGGACTGCTTGGGGGCGTCGCTCCAATTTCACTCGACGGTGTTGAGCTTCTCTGGCTTTGAGGTAAGGCAGCTGCAGGGAGGGGACGCAGAAGAGACAGGGCTCACACACAACTCAGGTGAACTTCCTTCCAGAAAACCCAGATATGACCCCGCAGTGGGGTCACAGTGGGGAGATGCCCCCCACGTTTGGCCAGCTCCATTTTCATCCTCAAAGCATGCGGCTCCATTCTGAGTCCAGCTGACCTGGGGATCCTAGGCCCCAGCTCTGCACTAGCAAGTGGCCACAGGGATGGCAACAGCCCCCACTGTGGCAGGGAATCTGAAGCCCCGGGAAGAGCCCGTCTCTCTGGACACCAGGGAGAGAAACCTCCGGGCATCCTCAGATGTGGCCCCAGTGTTAAAACAGTGCTGTGAACAGAGAACTTCCAGAAAGATGGCCAGCACTTGCTCCTTGTTTCAGGCCTGTAACTGACCACATCCAAGGGCGCAGGGCCTCTATAGGAAAGCTCATCCAAACCTGACTACTAGTGTATCGATATGGGTCGCATTTTTCTAGCTAGGAAAATTCACTAGCAAGTAAATCCTCCTGGAACGCATCCTCTGCCTTCCCGGGAACGGAATCTTTCTCATCAGTAACCCTCAGAGACAGCTGCTTTGAACTGTCACCTACCATACGCTCCCGGAGAGCTACCGAATCTCTGTCCGGGAAGCCAATCTACCGGGCGAGCGCTACCGTTTTGACAGAACAGAAACCGCTGTTCCCATCAGCGGGCAGCTGCTAACGCCATTCCAGAGGCTCGTGCTCTTTGAATGGTAACGTGTAATGCATTCATTTGCTCCTTCTCAAAATCCACCTGGAGAGTCCAAGGCACATTTCGCCGGGCTTCCATAACAGATGAAGGAGGAACATGGAAAGGGGCGAGGACCATGGTTCTCTCATGGTTGCCTGAATCACTTCTGTTCTCATCTCTGGAACTTGTCATTTGGTCTATGGGCCATAATGAATGAGTCAACGGGGACAGAAGGCAGGAGCTGTGAGCCCTGGTGCACCCAGGCTGGTGGCCCGTCCCTCCTCTTTGTCCCACTCATTCCAGGTCCCAAGAATCCCCTCCTGTTCCCCAAAGGTGAACCCCCTTTTCTATCCTTCCCCCGATTACCCTCATCTAACTCCTGTCACAAGCGGATCCTGACTTGGAGTTCTAACTCCCGTCACAAGCAGATCCTGACTTGGAGTTCCTTCTGTTGACTACTCACTCTCATTTTATTCTTCCATTTTTTAAAAATCATTTTACTATGTCTCAACCTCCTTCCTTTTCTTTCCCTATGGTCAGTCTGAGCAGAGCCTCCCGGCCATGCCCCCACCTCCCTGCCCTGTGTGTGTGCTGAGAGCCCTGCCCCTCACTGCTGAGCACTGACGGCCGTTGTCACCACTGTTGTTTCCCAAGGAGGGGCTGGGAAGAGAAAGTAGCTTCTGAAGCCAGCGGTGATGGTGTTCACTCTGGCCCTGCCCAGTACTTAGTACAAGGATAGAAAGTAACTCTTAATTAGGTTAGGAAAGTTTTCAAGATGTAGTATCATCTTGATACTACAAAAATTCCTCCGGTCCCGTTCCTAACATCACAGAGAGGGGATCTCCAGAGTTCTGGCACTAGAGCTGTCCTCAGCCCCATCCAGGGGACACCCCCTGAATCCCAGGGCCCTGGCGCCGAAGCCCAGCACCAGCGTCCTCTGGAAGGGGCCCCTCGGGTCTCTAACTAGTGTCTCTTCAACCAGGGTGAAGGTGCACCTTGCACTGGATAAAGCCTGAGACCTGTCTGCACAGAGCTTCTCTGGCTGTCCCTACAGGAAGTGGCTGGAGGGACGGTTTGCACCCCCACCTCGGAAGCCGAAGTGGGAGCCAGTTAGCCCAGCACTGCCCCTATGTTCCCCGAGATCTATCGCCCCTGCAAAACCGGGGCTGGCATCGCGGGCGTGGAGGGGGGCTCCCCCGGAAGGCCTCCAGTCTCATCTGTCTGACGCCAAGGTTTCTAGAACTCACGATACTCTGAGCAAACCAGAAGGCCCCGGAAACAAGCCGCTGACTCCACCCACCCCCACCCCATGCGAGGACGCATGTGCCAGGTCGTGCCCCCCCCACCTCACCTGACGTGGCCTTGCACATCTGGGGCATCCTGGTGACCCTGCTGTGCGCCACGAAGGTGCTCTGGGAGGAGGTGCTGTACTGGGAGCCGCTGTCCGAGGACGTGGAGCTGGTGTGCGACAGGCGGCTGTGCTCCTTGTGCGAGGCCGTGGAGCGCTGGTACCACTGGCGCAGCTCGTCCGACACGGCGGCGCGGCCCGCGCCCTTGTCGTGGGCGCCCTCGCGGCCCAGCGACGGAGTCCGCAGGATCTGCGAGCGCGACGGCGTCAGGCGGCCCGCATCGCCCTCGTCGCCGCCGCGCCAGCTCTCCCTGAACAGGCCGCCCGCCGTGTACGAGTTGGAGGTCTTGAACTGCGCCTTGACGCTGTAGTGGCCCTCCTGGTCGCTCTCCAGGCTGCGCACCACCACGGGCGTGGCGCTGCCCTCGATGTACAGCGGGTACTCCTTGATGCGGTACTGCGAGCTCGGCTGGCTCTGGCTGTGCAGGTAGACGCCGTGCGCGCCGCCGCCGCGCGCCGCCAGGTTGGGCATGCTGCCCGAGTTCGCCGCGCCCAGCGCGCCCGCCGCCCGCTGTCGCTGCCGCTGCCGCGCGCGCGCCTTGGACGGCGAGTCCTCGGCCAGCGTGGAGTAGTTGGCGTTCATCTGCGCCGGGTAGTAGTGCTCCGAGCTCGAGTGGCTGGTGCAGGAGGAGCAGTCGTCCATGGGGTCGGAGCCGTTGCTGCTACGAGTCCGTGGGGTGTAGAAGTCGGGGCTCCCCGTGTCGTTCTCCGAGCCCAGGAGCTTGCCCTGGGACTCCAAGCTGGAGCTCCGGTGCCTAAAGTGCAGGGCGAGGCTGTGCAGCCGTGTGGGGCTGAGGTCCACTGACCTGCGGGGAGATGGCGCCTGGGTGGGTGGGTGGGGGCCCGAGGGAGGGGGACGGAGAGCGGGGAGCGGGCTCTGCCATCCTCGGACCTGGGAAAGGGCAGAACGCCCAGCCCAGAGCTGCCATCTAGCAGACAGGGGAGAAGCAGGGCCACCCTGGGAGTCAGGGCTCTCCCTGCCATCGACAGGTGAACGCAGGGGCCGGAGGAGACAGCAGATCCCTGGAGGCCAGCCCCGCCTCGCCTGCGATGCCTGAGTCCCCAGGGGGCCTGGGACAGGAGCCAGCACCCACGGAAGGGTGTCCTCTGAAAAAATACGCCAGTAGTCTGGCCTGTTTGTTTTCTTTTCTTTTTTTCTTTTTTTTTTTTTTTTTAATTGTGGAAAGGGCTTCTATAGATACAAAGAGAACCAAGAGAATCCCTATTCTAGTATTATGTTCAATCATCTGAAATGCCCACTTTTTGTAGATCAAACAAGAGTCCCACAGCAGGCTCTTCACAGGCTTCAAGCAAATGCTAGTATGAAACCAACAGAAATGGATTTCCGTTCCCCTGAAACTACAACGGAAGGCTGCGGGCACGTGAGCACTTCGGAATGCCTGGTGCCAACACTTACCCTGCCACTACCTTGTCTACAGTGCCCGCTCTTCTTTTGCGCCCACACTCCAAGCACCCACCTCTGTTGCAGGGGTGGCCAATGCTAGGACACGTGTGAGACTCAGGGTGGCCCCACTGGCCAGGGAGAGGTGAGTTCCTGTTCTGTCACTCAGGGTAGAACCTGAAGTCCCTGGCAAGGGGCCCTCCGGACTCGGTCCTCAGTTTCCTCTCTGGTCCCACCCTCTCCATCACCTGCTCTGGGCAAACTGGCCTCCTGGGAATGTGCCAAGAGCAGGCCTGCCTCTGGGGCTTTGACCAGTCCCCGAGATGGCCTCAGAACTTGCTACCCCATCCATTCAGGTCTCTGCTCAAATGTCACCTTATTAAAGAGAACTTGCCTGTCCCTGATGCTTTCACTTAACAGAGACTCTCTTTCCATTGCGCAGACTCCTTCCCTGTTCCCTTTTCTTCTTTGTGCTTATCACCACTTGACATATATTTTTCTTTTTTGTGACTCCCCAGTGCTAAAATGTCACTCCAGTGAGAGCTGGAGTGTGGTCTGTTTTGTCACTGCTCTAACCCTTATGGGGGTACCTGGTACATAAAGGCACCTGGTAAATATTTGTTGCATGAAAGGATGAAGGAGACAATCTTGCCTGGACACTCAATCTTATCCTGTATAAACCCATCCTTTGCGCCACAGTCCTGGGCAATCAGGCTTTGATAAAATGGAATGATGGCTTTGGTTCTACCCCACATTTGGGGTAGATATTGCTTAAATAAATTTTAAACAAATATTTAAAAAAAAAAAAAAAGGGAAGCTCCATGCCCACTGGCTCTAGAAGCCTGGGGTTCTCCAGGCGACTCCTGGTGCCACTGAACGTAACTGGGATAAGAACAGGTCTCGTAGCTAACATGGGCTGGCCGCCTGCTCGGATCTTCATCCTGCCTCGCTTTACAGGAACCTCCCTCACTGGTTCAGGCCTCCCCTAGTTCACCATTCTTTGGGCCAGTTTGGGGCCAGGGAGACCTGCTCTAGGGAGGGAAGTGGCTCTGAAGCCTGATACACTCACCTCGTGGAATGAACATAGTGGGGACTCCGGACCCGGAGGTCTGGCGTGGACGGCATGCTGGACTGCGAGTTCCAGTGGGGGAGGCTGCGGATGGGGCTGTTCTGCAGGGAGCTGCTGCCCCCGCCGGCTTCGGCACAGCTCCCTGTGCTGGGAAAGCGCTTGTGGCTGCTGCAAACCAGAGGACACCAGGCCGGTCACTGCCAAGACACAACTGGCCCTCTTCCCAGGGGGCCACCTAGCTGCGGACATCAGCTCTGGTGTCGGGAAAGCTGGCCCAGGACCGCCCCACCTCTCGCTTGGATTCTGATTGTGGTACTCAGCCATCACCCCAGAAGTGGGTGGGGGTCCCCATCCCTGATCCCCATGGTGGTGTGAGACAAACACCCTCATCAACCCTGTTCTGTGTCGTCCCTGCCCTCAACCAAGTTTCTGTTTTCCAGCCGACAAATATTTACCTGTCTGGACAGCCACTGGGAGCTTTAAAGGGCGTAATTAAAGGAAATGAGAAAAACAGAGAAGTGGACCAAAAATGCCTTCCTCCTCTGCAAGACTCTGCAATCTCAGCTGAGTAATGAGCTGATAACATACAGCTAAGACCACAGCTGTCCGGTTCCAGAATCCTGTTGGACGATGGTGCTGGATTCTGAGCCACTTTGGGATTCCTACGAGTGGCATCTCACTTGCCATGCAGAGTAGTACCGCCCCAGACTTCCTCGTTACCTCCCGCGTCATCACACAACCTTCTAGCCCTGTGCCAACACGCCAGCTGTGAGCCCAGACGCCCCCCCTTTCCTTGTGGGGACGGAGCTGCACCTCAACAGGGTCAGCAGCAGAGGGCGCTGTGAGCACAGCACAGGGCGTCCCGGGAGGGAGGCCATCGCCCCGAGGGGATTCTGTGACTGGTGGATGCTGGTTAGGACAGCCTTTGCTTTTTTTTTTTTTTTTTCTGTGGCCTCCCGGACCCTGCTCACCTGGAATGGCCGTGGGAGGAGCGTTTCTTGACCTTCTCGTAAGGCTCATCCAAAGAGGACTCGCTCCACATTTTGGGTTTTATGGGGGACTTGTCATAGTCGTTGCGGTGATAGTGCATCTGCCGGAGTCCCTCCAGGGACTGGGGAGGGGGGGGCCTGTTGTGTGATGGTGGCCGAGGAGGGAGTCCCTTGTGAGGAGACTGTAAGGGGGACAGTGTGCTGGTGACCTGAGAGTCTTCTGCGCAGAGATGGAGAGAGACGAACTGAGCAAGGGTCCCTCCCGCCGACCCTGACAGACCCGCCACCCCCGCCCACATCCTCCCCTGCCCTGCAGACGGGGTGCGCTCGGTGAGAGCACCCCACGGCTTCCCCACTTGCCAAGACCAGTCCAAACAAAACAAACCAAACCGACATTTCAAGCAGCACTGGGCGGGGAGAGGAGTTTGACTTCGTGTTACCTATAGACCAAGTGAGGCCCAAATTCCATTAAGACCCACCGCAAATGATGGCTTCATAGTGAACAGCAGAATGGGGTCCTGATTATATCGTCAAGTTGTTTCTCGGCAGACCCTAAGCATCTGTTTTGCTCTGGAGAAGTTTTAGCTCTGTGAGGGTTCTCTTTTGTTCACTTCTACAACCTCAGTGCCTAGAGTGACGGCACCCATCAATAAATACTTGATGTGTATTTTGTGTATTCTGACGGCTCAGTAAATACTTGTTAGAAGAAAAGGTATGTATGTTGAATGTCATGATCCGTTGTTGGTGGCTCTGGGTTTCCTCTCTGCTTTCCTCAGATGGCTATGGTCCTTTAATGTGTGCCTGGAGATTTTCCTCTCAGACCTGCCTTAGGTTCTTCTGGAAGGAGACAGGCTACAGATACTAACCAAACAGAAGACTATTCCCTGCCCTCAAGTCAGCAGTGGATGGGCAGAGAGGAGGAAGGGAAGAGCCCAGGGCCACATCCAGCTGGGACGGTGGCTGGTGAGGAGGAGGAGGGAGAGAGTGGGGAGCTCCTTTCAGGGGCAAGGGCAGCTGACCTGCTGTGCCCCCTGAGATGACCCGGGTGCCCCAGCTGACAGGGGACCTTGATTCCGACTGAGGAATGGGAATTCGCAACTTCGCAAGCATGGATGTGTCAGAAAGAAAATCATGTTTGAGAGCCGGTCAGCTAGCAGGGTTCAAAGCAGGCAAGGCTGGGAGAGGGATGAGGCAGGGGTTGAGGGAGAGGGAGATATCCAGCGTGGAGAATGGTGGGGGTGTGAGGGAGCAGCAGTGAGCAGAGGGAGGAAGGAAGAATTCAGGGTTCATTGTGATGGCAGAGGGGCGAGTGTGAAGGAAAAAATACACAGAAGTAAACCTCAGAAACTCCAACCACCTTTCACTTGGCTCCATCCATCTCCCACCAGTGTTCTTAATCATAGCCTAATTTTCCATCCCTGATCTGGGACTCTATTATGTACCCTCTCCTCAAATCAGTAAAGGCAAGAGCCCCTAGAAGGGGCAAGCCTGCAGTGGGAGTGGGGGTCCAGGTGAGGCAGTAATGCCCCTCAGGGGGCCTGGGGGTCTGGAGACTAATCGCCCATGGGGCATCCACATTAGCTGACAACAGGCAGGTCCCCCAACTCTTCTCTTACCATGGAATCTCACTAAATGGTCCGTGCTCCCTCCTTTGGAGAGACTGCAGCCCAGAGGCCAGAACCAGGGCTGGATCTTCCACATGCAAAACGCTTCTCCCTGCTCCCCTGCAACCTGGCCTCGTCCCCGCCCGTGTAACAACGCTGACAATAAAAATACTATGACCTGATCACTAACAGCAAGGCCAAGACCACCAGGAAAATAACCTGCCAGCCTCTCCCCCATCAGTAGCACTATTACCAGCCTCGCAGTGATCACCACGACTCTGCATTGGGCAGATCGTTTTATATTTTCTGTGTGAACAGCTTCTTAACACTGCCCACAGGAGGTTTCCCTAAAGGGCAAAACAAATTAAGTGCCACTTAATATATTTCCATATCATTTAAGTCCTGGCCAAGTGTTGGTTTAAACCCACAGGAATACTCCCAAAGATGGTCCTGTGCCTGGAATTCTTTCTTCCCCCACATGTGGTGGAGGTGGGCTAGCGGGCTGGGGGATCAGTTCTGTTTTTCTAAGAATTTCCCAAGAAAATATCCTGATAACCGCTGGGCTTTCAGGTCAATGGAAAAGAGCAAGACAGTTTCAAGGCCTGACCAGCAATCTAAAGAGACATCTTCCCTTCCAACTTCACTATTTCTCAGGACGATGTGGAGGGCTGGTTTTCTTCCTGCCAACCCCGGGCTTTTCTAGTAGGTTTCCATCTTTGACTTGTGATCCAGCCAAAGTCCATGTCGTTCCTCCAGAAATGATGAAAAATCAAAAGGCAGCTGCACACGGTGTTTAGGTACAAATGTGGTGTTGGCAACCACAACCCAGAACACCGTTCACGGTCTGTCACCTTATCCACTACCTCTGGGCCACAGAAGATACTCCAGTTCCAACGGACATGAGTGGACGTTGCACTCACCTGCTCCCAACTGCACGCGTGAGCGCTGGAGATGAGGGACTCACGGAGCACCTGGCTGCCACCCAGGCCTGGCTCTTGCCTTTCCACCCAGCTGCGCCCGGAGACACACAGCTTAATGCCTGTTTAATCTAGGCCCGAGTTCTGAAGCAGGAAACGGACAACCTACCGTCCTCTAGCACAAGGGCGTCTGAGAGGGAACTGTCTTCACTGGCAATATTTCCATCTGAGAAGACAAAAGGCAAAAGTCTATGAGTTTCACACATTCCCCCAGACAGAGCCCTGCCTGTAAAAATCATGAGTTTTAGGACCATCATGTCCTCTTTCTGATCAGAAGGGTCGCCTGAAACACAATAAAAGTGCTGGCTGGCATTTCTTTGGACAGTCCCTGGGGTGGGTCATTCCCCACTCCTGACGCTACACTGTGCCCCAGTGTCTCTGTCTGTCTGTCTGCGCTCTTGCTTCCCTGGGACTGGCAGTGCTGAGTAGCTTAATATCCAGGATAAAGGCTGCCTGGCCTGGTTAAGCTGCGTCACTGTCCCGGCCCAATCTCAGGGCGTGTTCCAACTGGACCAAAGAAAGAGAACTGCTCTTTATTCTACACACGCCAAACCAGGGTGAGGAACTTGGCTTTGCTCTTATGGCCATAAATGTCTTCTCCATAAAACTCTAAAGTCATTAGTAGTGAAAACAAGCTGCTAAATACAGCTTCTCTCTCTCTAAGGCTTATTTTTATGGATACTAGTTAACCATGAAGACGCGCCCAAGAGGGAGCCAAATAATCCTTCCTCTCTAACATCTGGGGAAACTGAGGGCCACCTAGGGAGGAGTGGTTTATCTGCAGTCGCTCTGCTCTCTTGGAAAAAGGAGCCAGAAGTCTCAGTTCTGAAAGTTCCAAGTTTAGTGTTTTAACTCTTGAAATAAAACACCAGGCTAAGGAACTACAGAGAACTACAATTATTCCTCTAATTCGAGCGCAGCAGAAACCGTATTTAAAGGATGCAGCAAAATAAAGAAGATATATTCTTGAACAGTTAAGGAAAAAAAAAAAAAGGCTGCAAACCTGGGTGGGACCCTGTGCTGGGGGGACAGACACAGATCTGAACACAGACTCTGGTGGCAGGGCTCACAGAACAGACTTCGCGGGGCAGGCTGGGGAAGTTGGTTCTTCTGTGGCCGGCCAGGGACAGGCTCCCCCACCCCAAACTCAGCTCTGGTGACCATGCTGGGTGCTCCCACAGAGCTGCGACTCCCCGAGGGCCTTTGAGGGCCACAATGAGGCCCCAAAGAGGCATCACCAGGGCTGGCTGGCTGCTGCTGTGTTCAGAAGTGAGTTACAAAGGGACAAAGTCTTGGCCACGGACAATGGGGTAGGATGGGGAAAGACAGTTACTCCAAATTTCCTAGAGGGAAAGGATTCTTTTATGGCCTCTCTCTGGTTTTCCTCAACTAGGAAGTCACTTTATTGGTGTTACTTGGTGGACTGTGAGCAACTAGGGGACACAGAACCTTGACTTTGGTGTCTTGGGAGTTTCCAGTACAGCGTGGCTTCCCTAGTAAGCCCACGTTTTAAGGTTGCACAATTATATTTCATGAATTAGATAGTATTATTACATATATATGTACATATATACAATTGTGGTAAAACATACATAACATAAAATTTACCATTTTAACCGCTGTGAGCCGCACAGTTCAGGGGCATTAAGCGTATCTGCATTCTTGTGAAACCAGCACCGCCATCATCTCCCGAACTTTTTCATTTTTCCAAACAAAACTCATACCCATCAAATTCTAACTCCCTGCTCCTCCTCCCCCAACCCCTGGAACCTCTGTTCTACTTTTGGTCTTCCTAGAGCCAAAGTGTTTTCAACGTGTCAACTATGAAAGAACACTTGACATGTACTGTCTGGAGTCCGCTAGACATGGAAAAAGAGGACTGTAACCGCTGGGGGACTTGGTGGTGTTGGTGGATTCAGGGCTATTTCCTGCTAGTGTTTACCAGATAGAATCACCCAGATTCCTAACCCCTGCTGACCTGAGTTCGGGGGGCTAGAAAGTCAGAGAGGAGCAGCCGCAGCCTCCATGGCTTTGGCTCTAGGACAGGGGCCCTTGGAGCGGCTCTGTCTGAGGACAGAGGCTCAGTGGGGGTGCTGGCTAGCCGCATGCCCCAGCCATCCAGATGTGGGCAGGGAGTTCGGGTCCCTGAGGAGGTCAGAGCCTGGGCAACTCCAGCGAGGCCGAACCAGTTCGGTGAGCTCAGCCCGGCTCCTGGTGAGGGCTGGGGAGAGTGTGCGGCCCAGGGCTGCGGGCTCTTCCACGGGGCACTAAGGAGTGATCAGGACACTCCGACCGTGTAATCCTCCTCCTCTGTGGACCCGACCTCCCTCTGTTGCTCTCATTTGGTATCAGGCCTTGGCAAGCTTCGCTTTACGGATTTAAAAAAAAAAAAAAAAAAAAAAAAAAGCTAAGGCCCAGGGTGGTTAAATGGCTCGCTCAGATCCCACAGGGAGCCAGCTCTGGCCCCGCTCCTGGGGTTGGGTCTCGACGCCCCAGTGGGGAGCGGGCTTAGCACGGACCTGCGATGATCAGGGATGCCCTCTGTGTGGGCTTCTTCCCGGACTTGATGCGGTTCTCATTGATGGCATTTTCAATCTCCTGCAGCTTCTTCAGTGCATTCAGATAAGAGGTTTTCCTTTGTTTCTTCAGTTTTTTGCTGACATTGGGGTCACTGGCGAGGCGGCGGGCAGCCTCTGTAATCTGGGATTGAATGGCAAACTCTCGTTCCAGGCGTTCCAGCTCAGCTTCCTGTGGGAGGGAGAGGAGGCTGCTCACACTTCGCGGGACACGAAGGGCTCAGGGAGCAGCTGAGGGAGGCACTGTCCTCCCGGGCCCCGCCCCAAGGCCAGCGCACCCTACTCTTAGTCTCCCTAAGAGGACCCAGCCCCAACCTTGCTGACCCTGCAGTGGCCCTTCCCTAAAATCTCTGGCAGCCAGGCCCTGGGCACTCCCACTCTCGGGACCCTTGGCCCCTGTTACGTTCAGGAGACGAGTGCTGGTTGCTACGTGGGCAGCACCAGCGAGAAGCAGAGCTTTCCCGCAGCAGGTGGAGGCAGGGGCTCACTCGGCTTCATCTCCCTGGTCTCCACAGCAAGGGTCACGAAGACCAGACCCTCAGGGAAATCAGAGCCTGTCTGGGTGGCGTCTCCCTGCCACCTTGGACAGGGAGGCACCACTGCTTCCAGAGCAGGCTTCCATGGGTTTGCCAGCAGGGGGCTCACATGGGCCCTCTGTCTCTCATTTTTTGAGCCCCTCATGGTGGGATGTACCCCACTCCGCAGATCTCTTTTGGAAGCCCATTCTCCAAGCTCCAGCGGTCCTCACACCGGCCCGATGGCAGCAGTGCTGGGCTGCGAGGCGCTACGGGAGGGCAGAGGAGCCCGGCCCCCACTCCTGGGACTAAACGCCCCAGGGCATTCTCTGATCTCCCCTCCGTCATCTCCCTGCGGCTGCCACCCCTGACTTTGGCCAGAAGAAGCAAATGAGTGAATATATCCTCAAACAGTTTCGGCCCCAGGAGAAATGAGGCTGTGGCTGCCAGGACTGGGCGGATGGACGGGGACGGCCTGCAGGTGGCCAGCCTCTCTGCAAACATCTGATAGGAACGGACCCACGCACCAACCCACTGCGAGGGACCCATCCCCGTGTTCATGGGGATGGACAGACCTTCCTGGTTAACGCCGCATAACAAAGCCTTGCCTCCCAGCGGCCCGTGCAGGCCCCGGAGCTGGCATGGAGCACAACACACTTAGCGGGATTCCCTTCTGTTTGAGCACCTTGAGCCTGAGGGAGTGGGGACTTGGGAGGGAGGGGAAGCATGGGGATGACACAGAACTGCTCCGGAGACGATAAACCCCTTCCAGGTCCTTCCAGTGCTGGCTGCACTGGCTCTCTGGAGAGAGAGGAACGTGGGGATGGATTCCTGCCCAGAGTCTTGAAACAAACAAGTCACCAAGGACAAAGGCTGGTCTGTGAGGCTTCACTGCTAGAAGCAGCTGTCCCTGGGCGGTGAGGGGAGCTCTGGCCCTGGGGCCCAACATGGCGTGGGAGCCCAGGATGCGTTCGCACTCCCGGAGCGGACACGCACACGGCCACCGGCCCCGGGTGTCCAGACGGCTGCCTGCAGTGTGGACGGGGAAGTCAAGTGCGTTCCCAGGAGAAACAGAGGCAGCAACAGAGCTGAGGGTAGGGAGCCCTTCCTTCCTAGAGGAGCTCTGCACGGGCTCCTGCCGGCTCGGGGGTACTTCCTGTCACTAACTCCGGACCAATACACACAGGGACAGGTAAGGATGACAGGCGCACACGGACTTCTCGGGGAAGGAAAGGCCTCGCTTACTGGCATGTGGGAAGGAGCTGCTGGTGGGAAGGCATTCAGGGCTGTGGGCCCTTGCTAAGGTGGGGTCCGCTCTTCAAAGTTTAGTCCAGCTGTCTGTCCAGCATAAGAGTGGAAGTTGCCCAGGCAATCCCGGTGACAGCTGGATTTTAGAAGTACTTGACCTGATGGTCTTCTAAATCCCACCCACGCTCCCCCCCTGCTCTGCCCACCCGCAGCCCCTGCTTCGGCTGTCTCCTCCCCGCCTGCAGCAGCTCATGGTTACCGAGCACAAAGCAGGTGTCAAATAGCAAGCTAAGCGTTTCCCACACACCAGCGCCTATAATCCTAGCAACCACTCCAAGACATAAGGATTATGAAGCTCCTCTTCCAGAAGAGGAAAACTGCTGAGCGTCAGATGTGCCCGAAGCCTCTGGTGAGTCCACCTGTGCCCTGAGGCCCTGTGACCAGATCTCAGACTGGTTCCCTGCTGGTGGCTGCAGGGCACCTGCGTCCCCCCTGAATCTGCCCTCACACTCACCCGCTGTGGCTGTGACTCAAGAATGCCAGCTTCTCTCAGTCCCTTTTGTAAGAATATCTGTTTCAACGTGGCCACGGTATTCCCTTCCCTTCCCCCTTGGCTTTGATTCCTATTCTTGTAAGTCCTCTGTTCAAATAGCATTTTAATTCATAGTTTCACTCAGAATAAATCCATGAAGACAGTTCCTGGACGTGACCTTGAGGCCTAAAGGTTTGCATGGCCTCAACTCTCTCAGTCTGAGGCTGGAGAGCTTGTTAACCAGAGGGAGACCCAAGTCCCCGTACGTCCTGGAATCTGGACTCTCCAGCCCCAGCCCCCAGCAACTTTTAGTGTCGGAGGTGATAAATGAGCAACGCTTCAGTGGCTCCTCCAAATGCGGACGAATGACATCAGGACAGCTCAGCGCCTAGCTCATCCGCTGGCAGCAGTGCTAGCAGCAAGGCCCTACAGTCCCTCCCCAGTCAACAGCAGCCCTGCGCCTACAGGCAAGACCTTTCTTTCTCCCTTGGTTGTTTCCTTCCACAGGAGACTGGGCTCTGAGTAACAAAGAGCTGGAAGGCCATTAAAAAGACAGGTACACCTGAGAGTCTGGGATGTTCTCCCAAGCTTCACTTCACCGCTTACAACAGGCCTATCATGTTGGACAAACAACTTCCCCAGAAAGCGAAATGCCTACTCATGCAAGCGAATGAATCGGACCAAGGGGAGCCCCACGCTGACTGAGCAGCTAACTTAAAAGGGAGAATGGAAGATTCTGGGGAGGAAGGGGAAATGGCCTTTGGTATTGGGTAGAAGGAAGACCCTGTTACAGAAAACATGGATGCCCCAATATTTGGGGGAAATATGGCTAAAGTGAGAGAATCCAGCAACATCAGAAAAACACACCTCTCCTTTGGGCAGGATTTTCTGTTCATCCAGCTTGAAGGCTGTCCCGATTCTTCTTCGAACGATGGGTGGTTCCTCCCCTGGGTCCAAGGGATATTCAACGGGCAGCTTGCCTGTCAGCTCCTGCATATGAGCAACAGCACGAGAACAGGAATCAGAAGACGGCACGGGCTCGGTTCCTAGGAGGCACGCATGCACACGCACAGGCTTCAAAGCCTAGATTCAGTGCGTAGGCTTGAAATCGTCACCTTTAGCAATACATCTAAGGGCTCCTGAAATGCAATTTCATTTCTCTCTCTTAAGATTTTATTTATTTATGTGAGAGAGAGAGGGAGAAAGATTACATGCACGCATGCCTGAGTAGGGGGAGGGGCAGAAGGAGAGGGAGAAGCAGACTCTTTGCTGAGCAGGGAGCCTGATGCGGGGCTCTATCCCAGGACCCTGAGGTCAGGACCCAAGCCGAAGGCAGATGTTTACCTGACTGAGCCACCCAGGCGCCCCTCTTTTCTCTAAAAAATTATGAGAGCAGCCCTCTCTTTATAAAACAGATGTGCTTCAAAAAGTTTTTCCCAAAGTAAATGTCTTTTGGGTAAATAAAAGCGCCATCGGCATTCATCATAAAACCCGAATCTCATCCATTTGTTAATTTACCAAGTGTCCCCCGTGCCTGCTATGTGCCAGGTGGGACCACACAGCCAGGAGGGGCCAGAGCCCACACGACAGCTCTGGTCCGTCCAGGTTCTGTGTCCTTCCACTGCATCAAATAGTCCCTCATAAATATCTAAGTTCAGAATGTCCTTGAAATGAGTGTTCTTAGGAGGAGCGGTATCTAAACAGCGAAGCCAAGAAAGGTGCATATTACATAAACTAGAAACTGAACATAAATAATAATTACTCAACTCAGGCTAGGTGCTCAAGGCGCAGGCTGAGCTTAAAAAACATTACATGTATACAAATAAGAGTTTCACTAGAAACTGAAAATATAATCCATTTTGGTGACAAAGTCATTGAAAAAGACCTGTTGTGCATTTCCAGCTCTTAGAAATCTGTGTGACCACAATGACAGTGAACTTCGCTGATGGACCGCCACAGTGACTGTGACCCTGGCAGACGCCAAGGTCTGTGCAGCGATTCCGGATTAGAACGAGGCTCCATATTAGAGGTTATGTCTGGGAATAAAGATCAATTTGTAACCCACGTGGTAGAGGTGAGGCCTCCAGTGGACGGGGTCACTTCCAGGGGCCAGAGGCATGTGGGAGAGCCACCGTGCGCCTCCACTGGCAAGGCCCAGCCCCGGGTTTCCAGTCCCTGGTCAATGCCTACGGGGCTGCTCAGACACAGAGGAGCTCCCGGTCCATCTGCACAGAGAGCCTTTGTGCCACGCAGCCCAGTACGAGTGTGTAATGTGTGAGCAAGCCCCAAACACAGGACTCGAGGTGTTCACCCGCCTTCTGATAGAAGGAGGGATCTCGCCTTTCCCCACCACTGTGTGTGCACATGGAGTGCTTGTGTGCACACTGGGATGGGTGCATGCACTATGTGTGTGTGCACTAGGCTGTGTATGCGTATGCATGTGTGTGCGTGCATGTGTGCGCTGGGAGTGAGACTAGGTTGTATATCTGTGCGCTGGGATGGGTGTATTAGTAGGGTGTGTGTGTGCACTGAGTTGTGTGTAAGTGTAATAGGGAGTGTGCACATACATATGTATATGTGTCTGTACACTGGGAAGTGTGTGTATATGTGTGCAGTATGTGTGTGTGTGTGTGTGTGTGTGAGAGAGAGAGAGAGAGAGAGCGAGCGAGCAACTGGCATGCACAAACACAGCCACTGCTCACTCTCCTGGGCCTCTAGCCTGGGTTCAGGCCACCAGGAAATGAACTCTTGGGCTTTTTACTCCCCAGTGTAAGCATTTCTGAACATAATGGCCAACTGTTGAGTATGAAAGGCTCTGCAATTTTCTTCCCTGTTTTTGTAAAAAAATGTGGTTCAAATGTCCCCAGAGTAGTTATGTGTCTATTCTGCAACATTTTTATCTACTCCCCTAGAAGCCTGTCTATAAATAACATAACACACTGTGGATTTTATATGGTTAGAGCTTTTCCTTTCTACTTTGAAACTTACAAAAAGGAGGGGAATATTAACACGATCATTGACTTAATAACTAATGTGTCTGTAGTTCTGAAACAGACTACTTTAAGAATGCAAGGCTACGGATTTTCCAGCACCCACTAGAAGGTACTGGGTTCTCCATATTTAATCTGCCTTCACAGATAACCAGAGCCACGGGGGGAGGAGCTTGCTTTGGCGCTTGCAAGGGGCTCGGCCTGCTCCCCCACTTCCCTCTGGGGGAGTCAGCAGACCGGCTGAGCCGACACCAAGCAATCGGCCCCCAGGGCCCCTGTCCCCAGAGAGGCGACTCCTTCCACTCAAGTTCTGTTTTCTGGTGTCAACGCTCTAAGAAGTGGGAGCTTTGTTTTCCTTATTTTGCTTTTATTTCGAGAGAGACAGGGAGGCCTTTGTAACGCATGCTAACCCTGCCTTGACGCGGTTCTCCAGTTTTCTGATGCGGATTCCCTGCTGGGTTTAGGGATGTTTCCTTTATTAAAAACAAAACAAATCTTTTGCAAATTATTAAACACAGAGACCCAAGCTCTCCTTTTTTCACTGCTTTCAGGAGATTCTCTATGAAAAGGTTACTAATATTGAGAGAGTCTCAACACATATCCCTGGCCAGGCAGGCTGCTTTCCGGAGCTCTGCGGGGGATTTGTGCTGTGCGGGGGTGGGGGGGGGGGCGCTGCTGAAATCAGCCCAGAGCCTAATTAAGTCAAGTTGAAATGTAATACGATCCCATTCTATAGCCCCTTGTTTCATGCTTCCTGGGGCAAGGATTTGGGGGCAGAGGAAGTTACTCTCTTCAACTGAGCTCAGGAACCTCTTTTGCTTCCTATTCTGAGCTGCTGACCACCAGAGCTCTGTGTGACGTCACGCAGAGCACAGCCGCTCTCCCGAGGGCTCCCACCCACAGCATCTGTGTGCGACCCCGTGCTCATGCGTGTGTGCACACCCCCCCGGCATGTGTGTTGCATGACCAAATCAACTTTTCAAACATGCTAACAGTCATGGAATGAACAGGAGAACGTGGAAGCAGATATTCCTGCAAATAAACAGTGGCGGGCCACAGCGTCTAAACCCCCTGGCAACACAAGACCAATGTGTACACGGACTTGAGGAAGGCTTGCTTTGCATAAAATTAAAAACATCACTAGGCTGAGACCTCATTTTAAAAAAGGGAAGCACCAGATCATGAGTTTGAAAGGGGATTGTATACCAAGCGAAATCTTCATTTCCTTGTTGATCCCCACTGAGGCTTTTCCATAGGATTTCCCAAGACCAGTGTGAATTATCCTCAAGAGAAACAAAGGCACCATGACAATAAACTCGGGCACAAATTTTAGGAAGCTGGTGGCAAGCCAATATGTCCAAGGAGGTTATACCACAGGAAGTGACGTTTTATAAACTATGTTGCACATAGGACGGACCTCCATTATTACTTGTCATTTGGTCTCCAGTGGAGTCCCAATGAGGGTTTGAGCAGAGCAGCTCTACCTGCTATTGTCGCATTTCACTAAGGTCCACTCTTCCTGTTCATAACAGGGCGCGTTGTAGGGGTTGGGATTCCCACATTTGTGCTGCAGAAGTAGTCCTGCCCTCCGCTGATGCTCGCTGTGCAATCCCCGCCTTTGCTTTTCACAAATACATGAAGACAGAGGAACACACACACACACACACACACACACACACACACACACGGAATGTGAACTTACAGCTTCTCGAAGACAGAGTTTCTTTAGTTCCTCCAGCCGCTGGCGGAGTGTTTCCTCCAGCGCTTCCTGCCTGGATTTCAAGGCGGCCAGCATGTCCTTCTTGGCCGACTGAGAGCTATCAGATTCCTGAGAACCTGTTAATAAACAGTAGGGTTACTAGAGCAGCAGACAGGGGACCCACACCTGGACTATGGAGCATGTCACTGGAGCCCATGCCGTGGAGGTGGGACCTACCCAGGAGTCAGGGGAGCGGGGCACAAAGCGGGTGCTGTGGAGTCCCAGGGCCAAGGAGCAAATTCTTGGCACTTAGTGGAATTTATAGTTCCTCAGAGGACTGGCAGGAAAACTGACATGCCTGGAAAAGAAGTTTCTCTTTCTTGATAATCTGAAGATACGTGGCATACCTGTTTGATTTTCACTAGCATATCTTAATAGGCTTTATGCAGTGAAGCGGAAAGTTAAAATTCAGGCCAGTGATTTTAATACATAGTTTTAATTTTCTTTTTTTTTTCCATTTAAGAATGCTTATTTTTGGCTTAGTTCAAAGATGATGCATGCTTGTCATTAGAATTTTGAAAATGGAGACCTGTATAGAAATAGTCTATAAATAAGTCCTCCAGAGATAACCACTTCTGTGTATTCTTTTGATCTTTTTTATCATAGTGCACATATTTTAAAAATAAAATTTGATTTTCACTATATGTATTTTTAACTTAATACTGTGTCATGAGCAAATTCCCTCCTGATGAAAGTTATACATATTTTACCACTCAGGGTGGAGATATCTGCATGATGATTCGAGCAGCAGACTGCTAGATATGAAATCTTGGGGGAAGGCAAACTGTGAACGAAACACAAAAGGAAATATGCAAAAATGCCAACTGGAGGAATTTAGGTTGGATCAAAAGAACACTTTCAGGGCTGCAGTGTTTGGCTCCTGAAGCGGGTTTCCAGCAATGAAGCTGTTAAACATGTTTACCTTGATGGGTTCTGACAAGGCCCACTGATGCCCTGGGAAGGAGAAACTGATTACATTGCTTCTCATGCCCATGAATGTGGACAGATGTTCCTGGGTGTGTATTCAAGGGGCTCAGATGATGATGCCATTTACAATAGCATCAAACACCACCAAATACCTGGGGATAAATCTAGAGAAAGATGTGTAAGATCTCTATAGTGAAAACTGTAATATTCTGCTGAGAAACATTAAAACCCTAAAAAATAGAAAGGTATACCATAGTCATGGATTGGAGGCCTGATGCTGTAGAGGTATCCATTTTCCAGGAATTAAACAAGAGAACTGTTGCAATCCCAGGAAAAATTCCAGTGGGATTTTTTTTTGGGGGGTGGGTGGGGAGGCAGGTAGGAACTGTATTTCTGTAGGAAATCTGAGACAAGTCAGTGATCAGATGACAGACTTGAGAACAATGCAGTCACAACTGCCAGACACTCAAGTGTTCTGTCTCTTCCAATGGTAAAGAAAGCATCCTAGAATCCTCAGACTAGAAAGGTCTTTATGACTTTGCATCAGAAACCTCTGCTATACTCAAATCATCCCCCTAAATATACTATTCTTCTTAGTCCTTGAACAGTCTCTTACCATGGGACTAGGTTCCTAGAACCCTAATACTCAATATGTCTCAACAGCTATGTCTATTTTGACTTCAACTTGGGCTTTTCACTTTTTCTCCCCCAGCCCACCTTAGCTGGAAATAGAGAATATCACTGCAAGAACATATCATCTTCATGCCTCCACAGTAGCTAATAAATATTACCTTGAACAAACATATAAATGTCATCATTCATATACTTGGATGCTATGATTAAGCTGTAGCTTATCTTGGTAAAGAAATCTAGGACCCAGGAGTACGTATAAATTATAGAACCGGCCTTCCAAACTTTCATTAATTTTTGTAGCTCTTCCCCAGAATTTGCCAAGCTCAGTTGCAGGACTCCAACTTTAACAGCAAACCCGAACAAAAGCATGAATCTTACTAAGGCTCTCCTGACCTTGTGGTTGTCAGATATGAAGGCAACACATCACTGGACAATACTGCAAGCTCCCCTCCTGATATGGCTCAGATTTCTTGCCTCTGGAAGTCAATTACCCTGTGCTTATCAGTCCTCAACTATCTCTAGTTTACACCCATCCAAGATCCCATAGCTCAATCATGATGTGTCTTAACCTGGTTCTCTGAGCCATACTCACCAATCAAAATGGCAGACACAGAAACCCTTAATGGGGTTCTCTCCATTCCACCATCTAAAGCATTAATAAGGATGTAATATAATGTGGGGAAGAAGTCAGACTTCAGGTTTCAAAAACAGGCCTGGAGAAAACTGGACCTAAGGATATTAAAGAAGTTCTAGCTCAAGTGAAAAACTCATTGCTCTAATCTAAATACAGAACTAGTGATCTAGAGGACAAACTGACAGAGAAAAAGGATCAGGAGGAGGCCTGAAACAAACAGTTTAGAAGCCATGAAAACAGAATTAGGGAAATAAATCATACCATGAAACGTTCCAGCATCAGAATTATTGGGATCCCTGAGGAGGCGGAGAAAGAGAGAAGACTGGAAGATATAGTTGAACAAATTCTGGATGAAAATTTTCCCAATCTGGGGAATGGAACCAGTGTTTGTGTCCAAGAGGCAGAAAGATACCACCCAAGATCAACAAATCTAGAAAGACCTCGAGACACTTGATTGTGAGTCTGAAGAATCATAATTTTAGACAAGAGCTTCTGAGGGCAGCAAGGGGGAAGAGAACACTTACATATAGAGGAAGGTCCATCAGAATAAGGTCAGACCTGTCCACAGAAACCTGGCAAGCCAGAAAGGGCTTGCAAGACATATTCAGGGCACTAAATGAGAACATGCAGCCAAGAATACTTTATCCAGCAAGGCTGACATTCAAAATGGGTAGAGAGATAAAGAGCTTCCAAGACCAGCTACCGGGTGGCTGCTTCGTTGCTCGGGGCCCGTGTGCCAACGGGTGATGAGGACAAAGAGTATGTGACCATCAAGCTGGGACTACAAGAAATATTAAGGGGGGGGGTTCTATAAAAGAAGAAAGAGCCCAAGAGTGTCATAGAACAGAAATTTACAGACACAATCTATAGAAACAAGGACTTCACAGGCAACATGATGTCAATAAAAACATATCTTTCAATAATTACTCTCGACATGAACGGCCTAAACACTGCCATAAAACGGCAGGGTTGCAGATTGGATAAAATGACAGGACCCATCCACATGTTGTCTACAAAAGACCCATTTGGAACCTAAGGATACATCCAGACTGAAAGTGAAGAGATGGAGAACCATCTTTCATGCCAACAGGCCTCAAAAGAAAGCTGGGGCAGCGATTCTCATATCAGATAAATTAGATTTTAAACTAAAGACTGTAGTCAGAGATCATGAAAAACTCATTGCTTTCCCTTTCACCCCTGCCTAACCTCTCAACAGGAAATGATGATCTATTAGGTCTAAGGGTTCACCGTGCTCAAAATGGCAGACATCATAAGAACATTCAACTTTGGGAGGCAAAGCACAACATTTTTGGATAATCTGGTCTCTGAGCTTTGGTGTTGAATTACATGGCTCATTAGTGCTACTTAAATTATTATTATTTATAATAATTAGTCTAAATACCAAACCCACATAAGACAGGGTGGATGGCTCAAGAGGCCCCTTCTGTACCTGAAACCATGAATACTGGCAGGCTCCAGCTCATACCTTTATTCTGGAAATTGCTTCACGAGGAATGCAGTGCTGGGTACCAAGTTAAATTTTTACAAAGTAACTGAGCTGGCCTGGCCATGCAGATTTTTTTTTTAGTGGTAACTGGATGGTGAGCAGAGGTCAAACAGACCTGGTTTTGATGCACTCTATGCTGCTCACTAGTTGCGTAACCTTGGGTACATGACCTGCCCTCCTTAACCCGTCATAAAGTCTAAAGGAGATAATACGATGCACATACGATGCTTAACACAGTGGCTTAAACAGGTCAGTCCTCAAAATCCAGGGTACATTCAATGGGAGTGAAACACACACACACAAGCAGAACTGGAAAGAAAAACCACTGATGCTACCTCCTCCTCGTTGCTCAAGAAGAGACCTCACTGTGCAACTCTGCATACAAAAGCAGTATTTTCAAACTGTTTCTTGGATGCCTGAGTTTGCGGTTAGGTTTTTGGAGCTGCTGTGCCTGAGGTTGGGAACAGGATCACGGAGATTCAGGGGTTCAGGGGCCCCGTACTCCATGCTCCTCAAGCTAGGACAGCTCTGCATTCACTGAGTCTCGCATTTGAAACACTGCATTTGAAAAGAGGTTCCCAGGGCCTTTGTTTCTTGAAAGGAAATCCAGGGCACTGGGGGAAGGGTTCTGAGCCGGGGCAGCTGTTCCATGCAACCAGGCAAACATGGTGACCACGAGAAGAGATGACTGAGTGCGATGCCAGGGCAGCTTCCTACTGCCTCCGACGGGGGCCCTCGGGCATCCCTGGACCATCATGGCAGACACGTACAAGGGAGGCCAGCAAGAGGGCCAGGAGTCGGGAGGCATTGATTCACTGCTATTCTCAAGTGACCCAGAAGGACTCCAGGAAGAAACTCAATCAGAGAAGGGCCTCAGGTCAGCAGGAGTCTTACAAACTAAAGATGTGTGAACAAGAAATGATTCCGGATGGAGAGATCATTTCCCATCAGCACCTGGACTTGGTGAAAGGTACAGAAGTTCTCCACTGCTCTGGTTTACCCATTTCTGGTTATTTGAACACATGCATGCCTTGGCACACACAAGACCACGCTGAGGTTCTAAGTTTCACCTCTTGGAAATCAAAAAAGATGTCAGTCTGCTACCTCTGAGAGGAACGGTGATGGGCAGGGAAGGGACCTGGGTTTCCATCATATATCTGCTATTGATTGGTATAAGACCTCGGGTCACTCAACTCTTGGACCCATGATGTCCCCATCTGGAAAATGGCCAATTAACCAACCTCCAAGATGCTCCCAAACTTGGAGACTGTATTGCTTAATAAGCAGCTTACTTAGGTAGTACCCGCCTCCAGCGATCCTTGCTGCCAGTGTTACAGCTGTTACGTAACAGTGTCAACTTCTCTCTTCTTCACCAT